GGCATCCTGAGCAGATTCTGAACACTGATAACTGTGTGACACCATGTCCTCATAACTGCACGTTCGCTTCAGAAAGCTGGTCAAAAACAGCTCTCTTAGGATTTATTTTTGACTGGTGCAGTAATTGAATCTGAGAGAGGGAGTCCCATGATAATTTGATACCTCCGTCTCTCTCTGTGGTAGAGATGGGACCTGTCAGAGACGAAGAAGTTTAAGATGTGTATGTAATGGGTCATGGGGAACCAGGGCTGGGGTGGGTGAGGTGGGGGTGGTGGGATGGTGGTACTGCACAAGCCCTTCCAGAGTTTATAGATTAAATTTCCAGCACAATTCGATACATCTCTAACCCTGTTCCAGACAGAGGAACACATAATTTATTGGTCAGTGCATTGAGAGTAGGAGTTGGGAGTCATGTTGTGGCTGTACAGGATATTAGCTAGTCCACTTTTGGAAGACAGCATTCAATTCTGGTCTCCCTTATACGGGAAAGATGTTGTGGAACTTGAAAGAATTCAGAAATGATTTACAAGGATGTTGCCAGAGTTGGAAGGTTTGAGCTATAGGGTGAGGATGAATAGACTGGGGCTATTTTCCCTGAAGCATCAGAGGCTGAGGGGTGACCTTATAGAGGTTTATAGAATTATGAGGGGCATGGATAGATTAAATAGACAAGGTGTTTTTCCTGGGGTGGGGGAGTCTAAAGCTAGAGGTCATAGGTTTAAGGCAAAAGGGGAAATATATAAAAGGGACCTAAGGGACAACTTTTTTAGGCAGAGGGTGGTGTATGGAATGGGCTGCCAGAGGAAATGGTAGAGGTTGGTACAATTACAACATTTAAAAGGCATCTAGATGGGTATATGAATAGGAAAGGTATAGAGAGATATGGGCCAAATGCTGGTGAGTAGAACTAGATTAATTTAGGATTTCTGGTCAGCACAGACGAGTTGGACCGAAGGGTCTGTTTCCATGGTGTACAACTGTATGACTCTATGACATAATCTTTACTGACCCTCCCAGTCTTGTATGTAAGAAATGCCTTCTCAGGTGAATATGTCCGTGCCACTACTACAAGTAGAACTGGGAGTTTTCGTCAGTACCACAAAACACAAGATCCTCTGGTTGTAGAAGGTTTTCTGGAAGATTGGCTGCCGCATTTCTTACTTTACAACAGTGACTGCAATCGAAGGTAGTTCGTTAGCTACAAAGTGCTCTGAGACATTATGTTGTCACGTAAAGTTCTGTTTTTTGCCAAATTCCCCACCATCAACAGCTTTGTAAACACTATTGACCAGAAACTGAACTGGACCAGCTACATAAAAACAATGCATTAAATATAAAATGCTGTGGGGATGCCAGAAATCTGAAACAAACGCAGGGAGCACTGGAGAAACTCAGCATGAATGACTGCATCTGTGGAGAGAGAATCAGAGTTAATGTTTCAACTCTTCTTCAGAACTGAAGCAGCCTGGTTGATTGAGACTTTATCCCCCAAACTAAACATTTGTTTCCTCCAGCAATGGGTACAGCTGGATGTCAAATACACCACCACAGCGATTTGCTAAGGTTTCTTTCAGCACCACCTTTCAAACCTATGAGCTCTGCCACCTTGAAGGACAAGGGCAGCAGGTACATGGGAACACGGGAACACCACCCCTCTCCAAGCCACTCACCATCCTGAATTAGAATTATATCACAAATTTGTCATTGTTGTTGGGTCAAAATTCTGGAAATTGCACTGTGGTGGTAACTTACAATATATGGAAGGAGTGGCTCAAATATAAGTTCCAACAACAACATCTTGCATTGATATAGTCAAACATCCCAAGGTGTTTCACAGCGGTGTTACCGAATTAATGATATTAACACCGGCATCTGAAAGTCTCGTCAAAAACGTGAGACATTTCCAGGGAAGATCTTGTAGTCAGAAAGAAAATGAGGGAGGGTTATTGAGGGAACAACGAGAAGGGATACACCAGAGGCCAGAACTGGGGGAGCACTGCAGTCTCAGAGGGTTGCAGGATTGGAAAAGAGAGATAGAGGACGAGGGGAGTCATAAAGTTGATTGCAAACAAGGGCCAGGGTGTTGCAGACAAGGAGCTCAGGCATTTCAGTATTAGTTTGATTGTTATTATTACTATTAATTTTTTTAACAAGTTTCCTTCCCAAGTGCAACTAGAGCTGAGTAATCATTTTACTTTGCTAATGATGCTCAAATTCCAAGAATTAATAAATATAAAATATATAAATCGAATTTTTTTTCTCTTCTTTTACAGCAAGTCAGAGCAAAATAAAACAAAGTGTTAATTTGAGTCTATTTTGTGAAAACAAAGCCTCGCATTCACCGATGGAAGTGTCACAGAGTGCAATATCCCTCTCTCCTGTGCCTCCAGCTACTTTCCCTCCTGCAGCTGGGAAATACTGCAGCCTAGGTTGGGCAGGTTGAAGTTTGGGACCCAATCTGTTTGTACCAGAAATTGTAGCTACCCTCTCCCCACCCCATCTTCTTTTTACACCTGTTAAACGTGGACTACATGGGCAGCAGTTTTCATGGTCTCTCCTGGAGAGTCTGCGGCTGTAGTCATGGAATCTAGAGGATCAGTGTTGGATAGGGTCATTCAAAGGCTAGACAGCTCGCTCCTAACTTTATATTAAATGGGCATTTTCAATGCACTAACAGGCCATTTGGCCCATCTGGGTCACATTGGTACTAGCACAGCTGCCTCACAGCGCCAGGGACCCAGGTTCGATTCCACCCTCAGATGACTGTCTGTGTGGAGTTTCCACGTTCTCTCGATGTCTGTGTGGATTTCCTCTGGTTACTCCGGTTTCCTCCCACAGTACAAAGAATCATAGAATCCCCACAGTTTGGAAACAGGTCATTCAGCCCAACAAGTCCACACAGACTCTCTGAAAACCACCCTACCCAGAGTCATCCCTTATCCTCTCCCTGTAATCCTGCAATTCCCATGGCTAGTCCACCAAATTTGCACATCCCTGAACACTATGTGCGATTCAGCAGGGCCAATCCACCTAGCCTGCACATCTTTGGACTGTGGGAGGAAATCAGAGCACCCAGAGGAAACCCACGCAGACACGGGGAGAATGTCCACACAGACAGTCACCCGAGGCTGGAATTGAACCCAAGTCCCTGGTGCTGTGAGGAAACAGTGCTAACCACTGAGGTACTGTACCGGCCCAAAGGTGTGCAGTTTGGTGGATTAGCCCATGAATTGCCCATAGTTTTCAGGAGTGTGCAGGTTAGGTGGGTTTGCCATGGGAAATGCAGGGTTACAGGGACTGGGGGGGTGGGTCTGGGTGGGAAGATCTCTGGAGGGTCAGTGTGGACTCGATGGACTGAATGGGCTGCTTTCACACTGCGGGGAGTCTTTATCTCTTTCCATCTTATGTCATTTAACGCAATCAACATCTACTATTTATTTTTCCCTTTTGTACTGATCTAGCTCTTATTTTAAATATTTTTAAGTTAATTATTTCAACTGCTCCACGTGGGTGCGAATTCTACTTTCGAATGATTGTCCGCGTAAGGAAATTTCTCATGAATTCCTAGTTAGATATATTACTGACTATTTTATATTGATAGCCTTTAGACTGGACTCTCTCATAAGTAGAAACTTCAGTATCTATCAATTGTTGCTTCACAATATGAATGATCTCTGTCATGTTTGAGGGAAATTTATGGCCTAATAATGCTGGGCACATTCAGGATGCCATTTGCCAAGGGTTTCAGAAAGGAGGGTTTTGAAATGTTATAAAACGAGATTGGCAATTCCTTCCATTGCAGTTAAATTGGCAACTCCTTCTAAATACACCCCACTCCCATGGCTCCTCTTGGTCCAATGGAGATTGTTCAACTAGATGCCTGTTGGTTTTCCAATTCTCTTCAAAGATCCTCCAACATTGTTCTGGCAGACAGAATGATCAAGGGTACAAGTTCTTGGAGTGGCTTTAATGTCAGGGAATCTTTGGAGTTTTGTTCGAGGTAGTCAGGAAATAATGTATTAGCAGAGGACTGGGTGCAGGAAGAGGGCCATGGGGCTGATCACAGGGATCACAGAAGGTTAAAAGAGATTATGTATTTAATGGAAGGGATAATGAGAAGATGTTACAAGTTTTATTTTGGGATGTGAGCATTGCTGATGAAGCCAGCATTTGTTGCCCGATCTTAAATCCCCTTGAACTGAGTAGCTATCTCAGAGGGCAGTGAAGAATCAATCCCATTGCTACCCGACCAGCATTCCATTCTGGCCAGACCATGTTAGGACAGCAGATTGCCTTCTCTGAACGGACATTGGTGAACCAGATTGGGTTTCCTTGCACTGCACATTAAGGAATGAGTAACAAAGGAGGTACCATGGTTAAACTTACATCAGCTTCACCTATAATTAACAAAGGGGTATTCAGCCTCTTTGTGTGATATGGGGCAGCAGTGCTGCCTATAAATAAAGACCAACACAATGATGGCTGTACCTCCCATGGTCAATATCATCCTATTATTGGCCATGTCTTCCCCATGGTTCTTCTCACTGCCTGTGTCTCTCTGCTGTGTACCAGCAGATCTGTCACCACACTGTTACATCCACAACCATTAGTCTTCCTGACAGAATCACACACACACAACCTTGATAACCATAAATCATCATATTTGCAATAATCAGCTTAGCCAGGTTTATCAACTGTTATCCTATAGTGCCAGATGCTCGTGTAGACTGGTCACAATCTATTCGTTGATCTTTAGGAGTAAATTGTTCACTCTGCACTAACGGCAGTGTTGGAGCTAAGGCATCGCAAACTTGCTCTGTAGGGACCCCCAGTGGCCAAAGCCTCCAATTATAATGTGACTGTTGACATAGCAAGCGTGATTGGGAAATATTGATCTAGCATTTTACTACAGTCAATGTTGGTACATGAGTTAACTTACACAATGTTTTAAACAAATTACAACAGGAGAAGGAAGAAGATTGGAAAAAGAAACACAAGAATCAATTTTTATTATAAAATGTTTAAAATATTTATTAAGAAATTAAGTATTTATGTTTCTATAAAGACATCATTCTAATTACAACATGTGCAAAACATCATTATATACAACACTATTTATCTGCAAACTTATATTGAATTCAGATATTAACAAAAGAGCAGTAAAACACTGTAGCAGGAACCCATGGAGTCCAAATGTGGCTATGTTTATTGTTAGTAAATCAACGAACAGGTTGGGATGGAGGAATTGAGTTTCCTCATCCCTGCTGTACCTCTAGAATGCAGGTGTAGACTATGTGCTAGGTTCTCACAATTATTAGCTTAGTTACAGACAGAATAACTACGCGGGTACTTTGCAGTTACCCCCAATGTATGTTTGGGAGTAATGGGGCGTGATTTCTGTCTGCTTGCTGTGTGCTGCTCAGCACCAGCTCATCCGCCCTCCACCTCCTGCTTCAGGAAGACTAATATTAATTTGATCTCTATATTCTAGATTCTTGGCTTACCTCTGACTGCCACGCTCAAATAGCTAATTGGATTTCATAATGTCCATTGGAAAGCAGATCTAAGTTGAGGATACCAGTAATAGAATGATGCTTTATTCCTCTTGGAGTTATGGTTGACAGGTATTCCTCTGATGTGATATATTGTTTAAAAAAAAACTGCTGGGTGTGTCCTGTCCTCAGAACAGGACTGACTATGGCCCTGCAAGATCAAAAGTCCAATATCAACCATTGGACAACTGCTTCCATCAGAACTTACTGTATGTTTTTTTTTTGTCTAATAGCCCCTCCATTAGGCACAGGGAGGAGATGTTTAGCTCCACAGTTTGGGGGAGGGGTGACCTTAGAGATGGGAGGGTGCTCTGTGAATCACAGTCCATCAGGAGGTGAAATTGTTCCCAAATCGGATGATGGCTCACACCGTTAAATAATCTCGATCTCTAAAATCCCACCGCCTGCACAAACTCCGCCAAGGTTACATTCCACTCGGGCAATTTTACTCTGCCCTACATCTCACTAAATGTTGCTATAGACTGACACACGGGTGCCAGTTGTCACTCTCATTTAGTCTAACTGATCATACAGGTCAGAGAAAAACACAGCCACGTCTCCACATTACAGTAATACTGGCAGACACCAGGAAATATATTAAACACGTACAGAAAAAAAAAAGTCTTTAAATATACACGCCGAATATTTACTACACATGACCCCCTACAGTTGTCTCATTGTGCTTCAGAAATGAAGCATTGTTCAGTTCAGATCACTCCACCACCGTGAAGTTTGTTTTAAGGTGGGAAAATAAAGAGTACAAATTAAATAGAGTTACTGTAGGAAGGTTCACCTCAGTGCACAGGCATCAACTGCCTGATTCTAAAATATTCACATCTCTTGTTGCACAGTGCACATTCAAGAATTATTCTCTACTGCCTCAACAGATGGAGATGATGCTTTTTTCTAGAATTTAATGGGCTGACATTGTTTGTAATGGTTCCCCCACAACAGTCTAAGCTTTCTGACTAGCTCCTTCAGTTCCTTTGGTGGATTCTGGCCTCAGCTGCTGACCCTGGGCTGTATTTAGAGATTTGTCAGAACTGGGGAAATGATTAACCACCCCTCCAAATTCAAAAACTACACCCTTGCTCTGGGTGCTCACAGAGCCTGGCCCCAGGAACAAAACACTCAGCAGACTGTTCCGCAGTCCATTTTCAAACTTATTGCAACACCTTCAGGAAACTACTGTCCAGCCTTTTCCGCCCTGGAAACGTCAGAATTGGCAATTATGGAAAAACATTTGCTTAACACTCTGTGAAGACTGATTCTTCCATCCCGTACAAATGCTTTTATGAATAAGAAGGGGCCATTCAGCCCATCAAGCCTATACTGCCGTTCAACCAGATCTTGGTTAATTGGTGTAACAACTCCATATTTGCCCTTTAACCCTTGATAACCTTTCTTAATAATAATCTGTCAACCACAATCTTGAAAGGTCCAATTGATGCAATGCCTTTTATGAGAGAGAGAGTTCCAGGACTCCAAAGCCCTTTGGGTTTCACTCCTGAATGGCCTAGCTGTAATTTTAAGATTGTTCTGCCTTGCTCTTGATTCTGCCACCAGAGGGAATCATTTCTCTGTTTCCATGCCCCATTGAAAGCTTCTTACAGCCTCCGTGTAACCGATTGGCAATAGGGGAAGACTGAGTGACAGTGAGAAAGTCTCACAATTACAGAAAACCACAAAATTCATGGACAAGTGATTACCAGGGCTTTTACTAGTCCCTCGAGTGGTCTTTGGGAGATACAGCTCCATTTGGTGTGAAGGTCAAGATATGCAGCATGCTGGTATCCCACATATTAACGCACACTCCTCTCATAGTAAGCGCTGCAACACAGGCGTATAGGAGAAAGCTTTGAATCAGTGTGGTCATAACTCCTAACCATCCCAGCAGCTTAGTTTCTGTGCTAATCTAATGGGTTGTGTTCATATCCAATGATTTCAATGCAGCGCAAAAATGGAGTAAAATGGGCAGTTGGTCTGAACCCTTTGGGAAGGTGTGTGTGTCTGTGTATGTCATAGTGTGTGTGTACACATATGCATGTGGGAGTGTGTGTCTGCATATCTGAGAATGTGTGCGCGTGTCTGGTCAGACACTAAGATTCATAGAAATTTCTTTTAAAGCATTAGAATGCAAGTTGTTGGAGTTTGGGGCTCTCTCACTCTTTACTTCATTGACCTAATTCTGCCAACCATTGACAGTGGAACGTGTGCACTACTTGCCTACTGGAAACTAGTCAGACCCCAATTTTCCATCTGATACAGTTTTCATTAGCTCATTCAGAAGTGCCATGGCAGAATGTCTTAGTATCTATCAGAAATTGTCATCGGCATTGGACACAGTTTCAGAAGAAGTTGTAAAATCCAAAAAATACAGGTTGAAGTAAGGCTTCAGTGAGTCAGCCACCTTAAACTGCCTGAAAAGGTGTCCATTCAGAGCCTCCTCAAAGACAGTTATAATAAGCCTCTTGAAGGTAGCCATCTAAGACCCACTTGAAGAAGGATCTCTTCAGCCTCCTTGAAGATAATCACTTTGGCAGATGTTTGAGAAGTTTTTTTTAGAAAGTACCATAGCAAAAACGGAAGCAAGCCACAATTGAGTACAGGAACTTATTAGTCTGTATTACATTCGAATATCTAAATCCATATCCCATTTTCAATTGTGGAAAGAAACTATGTCCAATGACCTTAAATAACATAGAAATTTCATTTGCAACTATATATATATATAAAATATAAAACCACATCAACTCTGATTAAATTAGATTAGGAAGAATTGTCAATGTGAATTGTTTCTTGTTACAGTTAATTTGATCTGTTCTAAACCAAGCCTGAAAACTGGCTTAGAAGAGATACTAGTTATAAACCAACCTGTTCAACTAAAAGATTAAAGATTAACACTTGCTGGATAGGTGCAATTTGTCTGCATTCTTTGTCCCACATTCTTAAACTTAATTTTCAGAGGTGCAAATTTTCAAATACATCATATCTTTTGAATCAATTGAGAAGCGCTCACTTTTCTTGGACCCATTTCAAATGATGTAGTCTTTGGGTTTAAAAGGTCAGTTGGTTTGAGGCAATGACGTGTTGGCTTAATGGGTCAATAGGACCTTTGCAGAGGAGAGTCTGAGAGCTACAGGAGATGTACTGTATGTGGACCACTGGAAATGAAGGTCAGAAGGCAGACAGAAAGCCATCACCAGCACTTACATCCAAAGTCCAAATGTGCCACAAGAGGTAATGTTGTGAATGAACATCGGTCTAGCCTTTGTGGTTGCTGAAGCAGGTCATTGAATTGGAACTGGTGTGGTTGCCAGTGTAGACACAAACAGTCAGAAAAAGTGAACTACTGGGCACAGCAAATGGCCGCTGGTCTTGAGGACGCAGAATCTCTGCTTTCTCACGAGTTCCGCCCCTGCCGCGCTTACTCAGAAAACTTGTGGATGTCATTGTGAAGCATGTAGTGAGGGTAGGAGATCTCGTTCTGGTACGGGCAGTTGTAGTGGCACCGGCACCTGTCGGTCCACATCATCCTCTTGGTGAAGGTCTCTCCGTCCTCGCAGTGGAAGCGCACTGAGATGGTGCGGGTTTCTGAAGGGGTGCAGCAGCGGTTATCGGTGCAGGAACCGCACCAGCGGGGTTTATACTGCCTCACGCTGGTACATCCAGCGTAGGTGAACCGCACAGGCTCCTTGGCCTTACTCATTCTCAAACATTTCTTGCCTTTCTGCCAAATGAGGAAAAGGATGATGTAATGGGGGCCGTCTTGAGATTAAACCCACAAACAACACAATGAACAGACTCCTTCCTCCTCATGTTTCACCAACCATTCCCCCATCCCCACCTCGTCACCACTTTGTAACAACATGGCAAGGACTGCACAGCAAGGTCTTTGTATATATTTAACAGATGTGTGATATGGACACTCACAGACTAATATTAAATAATCAGACCATTCAGTATCCAAATGCCCAAAACAGCACACAAACTCTGGGTGATAAGTGTCACTAAGGTGTATGGACTATGGGTCATAAAAACATGGAAAATTGGAGCAAAAGTAGGCATTCACCCTTTGAGCCTGCTGCACCGTTCTCTTTTATTTAATTCATTCGTTGGACATGGGCATCGTTGGCTGACCAGCATTTATTATGCATCCCTAGCTGCCCCTTGAGAAGGTGATGGTGAGCTGCCTTCTTGAACCTCTGCAGTCCACATGCTGTAGGTTGCAATTCAATATGATCACAGCTGATCATCCAGCTCAGTATCCTGTTCTCACTTTCTCCCCATGCCCTCTGATTCCTTTAGCCTTAAGAACTGTATCTAACTCCTTCTTGACAACACTGAATGTTTTGCCCTTTCTGTGACACAGAATTCTACAAGCTCACCTGGGTAAAAAAACTTTCTCCTCATGCCTGTCCTAAATGGTCCACCACATATCCTTAAGCTGCGACCTCTGCTTCCACACCTCCTGGTCATCGGGAACATCCTTCCTGTGTTTACACTGTCTAGTCCTGGTAGAATTTTGTAGCTTGCTAGGAGATCCCCTCCTCCCCCATTCTTTACAAGACTGTAGTTTCAAGTCTCACTCTAGAATGTGAACACAAAATCTACGCTAATGTTCAAATGTAATACTGAGGGAGTTCTGCACTGTGAGAGGCAGTGTTCTTTGGAGAAGCTGTTAAACTAACTCAATACCTAACCCCTCAAGTGGACTTCAAAGATCCCAGGATATGAGAGGAGCCATCCCTGGTGTCTTAGCCAATGTGGATTTTTCAGTCTGTGTTAACATTTGATTATCTGGCCACTTACTACATTGATATTGGTGGGATTGGCTGCTGGATTCCATTGAGTCAGAATGGTTACAGCACAGAAGGGGGCCCTAAATCCAGTTGGGATGGTGTTGTCTCTCCGAACAAGTAATTCAATTAAAGTCGGCCTCTTTCCTGGATTTGTGCGAGGATTTCCTTTGAAACCTTTAACTGATCCTACCTTGGGGACCCTGCACAGTGTGATATATTCCCAGTCTCTCTAAAGATGGGTCTACCTTCAGGCAGTGCAATCCCTATCCAAACCACAATGGGGGACACTCCTCTTCCTGCTGACCTTCCATTAACGTAGGGATAAGAAGCAGGAGCAGGTATTTCAGCCATTCAAATCTGCTCTGCCATTTAACATGACCATGGCTGATCTTATCCTGGCCTCAACTCCACTCTCCTGCCTACTCCCCACAGCCTTTTATCCCACTTTTCATAGAAATATATCCATTCCTGTCTTGAATCTGTTAACTGATTCTGCCCCAGTGCAATCCGGACTCTTCACCTCATTTTCCTCAAATTGCCATTTTAGTTAGCTTAAACCTGTGTCATTCTCGACCCTTCCGCTGATGAGAATACTTTTCTTACCCTGATCTTTTTAATTCACTTGCGGGGCATGGGCATCAGTAGCTGGGCCTGCATTTATTGCCTGTTCCCTAGTTGCTCTTGAGAAGGTGGTGGTGAGCTGCCTTCTTGAATCACAGCCTAATCTATCCAGACCCATCCTACACTGATGCAGTGACTACACTCATTGACTGTAAACCACTCAGAATGGTAGACAGTTTCCAATGAATGTTTTCTGCCACTGCCCAGGTTAGTTGGGGCATTGGCGTGGTGGATTGTCAAATTGTTCAGGGATTACAATGTGAGCCCCAGCAAACTGTACCTTGAGGTTGGTGTGGAGTGTCAGGTTGCAGGGTCGGAGCTGGCAGAGCCGGGTCTCTTTCATCAGTTTGCACTGGGGGTTGTCGCTGGTCACTCTCGTTGAGATTCCGATGCTGCAGGTCTTGGAGCACTGCGACCAAGCCGTGGTCTGGACAAGGCACTTTGATTTGTCGCTACGGTCATGGGCCTGCATCCTCCAGGCTGCAGAAAGAAACAAGTCCTCGTCAACAACAGGCTGACCTTCCCTGACATGATTTGGTTTGATTTATTGTTGTCATATGTACCTTGGTACCGTGAAAAGTTTTGTTTTGTGTACAGTACAGGCAGATCATACCATACAAAGTGCATTAGGGTAATAGAACAGAGCGAGGAATACAATGTCACGGCTGCAGAGAAGATGCGCAGAGAGTGAGATCAACATTAAATTTAAAATTTGAGAAGTCCATTCAGAAGTCTGATAACAGCAGGGTAGGAGCTGTTCTTGAACCTGTTGGTATGTGTATTTAAGCTTTCGTACCTTCTGCCTGATGGAAGAGGTTGGAAGAGATTATAACCAGGGTGGGAGGGGTCTTTGATGATTGTTGGCTGCCTTCCCGAGACAGTGAGAAGTGTAGGCGGAATCAATGGATGGAAGGTTGGCTTGTGTGATGGACTGGGCTGTGTTTACAGCTCTCTATAGATTCTTACAGTCCTGGGCAGAGCATGCTGTGAGGCATCCAGCTAGTAATGGGACAGACCAAATGAACATTCCAGCTCAAATCCCAGTCGGGCCATTCTCCCAACAGTCTGTAGAAATCCCGGGAATAAGCAAAATTTACAATGTTTATCCAAGGTTTCCACAGATCCTCTGCCAAAGTTATAGCTAATACCTCAGGAATTCATGTGGAAATTCACCTCCAGAGTATACAACAACTTATATTTTTATAGCTCCCTTAACAGAATAAATCATTCCAAGATATTTCACTGGAGCATTATAAAACAATAAGGGGGATAAACTACCTCTTTGACAAAGTTCTTGATTATGAGAGTGTGACAACTGGTGGGCTTTAACCTGAGGGTCACTGCACTTCAGGTGAGGGGGAGAGGTTGAGAAGGTGAGACTCTCATGGTGACCTCAACCAGTGTTGGAATTGAACCCATACTGTTGGCATCTGTCTGCTTCACAAACCAACTGCCCCGAGGTGCAGCAACATCAGGGTCAAGCCTGTTCATAACACGAGTGTGCACTCACACACATTCTCCACCAGAGCTCACTGGCTGGAAAAGGTTCGTGGCTTGATCCCTGTGGTGAAGGGGGCAATAGGGCAGCGTAGTGGCTCAGTGGTTAGCACTGCTGCCTCACAGCACCAAGGACCTGCGTTCGATTCCAGCTTCGGGCAACTGTCTGTGTGGAGTTTGCACATTCTTCCTGTGTCTGCATGGGTTTTCTCCCACAGTCCAAAGATGTGCAGGATCAGTGGATTGGCTGTGCTAAATTGCCCATAGTTTGCTGGTGAGGTGGATTAACCATGGGAAATGTAGGGTTACAGGGAGAGGGGTAGGCCTGTGCAGGATGCTCTTCAGAGGATCAACATGGGCTGAATGGCCTGCTTCCACAATGTAGGGATGCCTTGTTTTGCCTTATGAGGAATGTTGGAGTAGGCTTGGCCTTTATTCATTGATGTATAGGAGAATGACAGGTGAACTTATTGAAACTTGTAAAGATTCTGAGGGGTTTTGACAGTGTAGATACTGAGAGAATATTTCCCATTGTGTGGAAGTTTAAACTGAAGGGGAAGAAGAATTTCAAAAACAATGATGAGGAGGAATTTCCTTTTCCAATTAATCTTTGGAATTCTCTATCACAGGGAGCAGTGGAGGCTGGGCCGAAAATATTAGGTTAGGTTTTTGATCCAAAAAAGAGCCAAGAGTTTTAGGAGGCAAGCAGAAAAACAAAGTTTAAGGCTACAACCAGATCAAATTTTACCGAATGGCAGAGCAATGGCCCAGCTCTAGTCTGATTTCTTGTGATCAGTAGAGGCCATTCTAAATGGGTATCTTCCCTCCTCAGTAGGGCCCAGTCTAGCACCTGTACTTCCTCCCAGCCTAGTGCATAGGCCCGAAGCCTGATCCTGGGGATTTCCAGCCCAGCCCCACACCAGTCAGTAAAAGCAGCAAACAGGGAGTGGATAGTTTGTCTGTAAAAAGAAGACACCAGAAGGAATGAATTAACTTGTGGTTAAGTGGTTGTCCTCCTACCTGGAGGAATTTTCAGGCCACCTCTGACCAGGTCAGTGAGCTCATTGCTCGAGAGTGGTTCTGCATCCAGTTGGTGTCCGATCTCTTCATAACTCATAGAGTCGTCCCCTTCCTCATTGCTATCGCCAGAATCTTCACCAATATGGTTGGTGTCACAGGCCCATTCCTCACAGCACTGCCCCGGTATCTTGACCAGCCGAGGCTTGGCACAATCCATGGTCGGCAGAGAGAGCTCCTGGGGACAGAGGGGCAGGCAGCCCACTATGCCATCGATACAGGTACACTGGTGCTTGCAGTTGGGCTGGAAGTTCTCTCCATTCTGGTAAATGTTCCCACCAAACTCACAAGGTCTTCCTTCAGATTTGGCTTCAGCATCAAAAAGAAAGAAAAATAATGGGCAATGTGGAATATTTAAGAAGTAAAAGAAATGTCTGAAGTTACAGGTCTTCAGGAAAAGCCATCAATTTGTTATGGTCTGGAACGTGCTGTCTGAGAGCAGGGTATACACAGACAGAACAGGAACTTTGAAACAGGAATTGGATCTATACTGGAAAGGAAGAGACTTGCAGGGCTATGTGATAGAGCAGCTAAGTAGGACTAACTGAAAGCTCTTTGAAAGAGATGGTATAGGCATGATATTCTATGTTTCTATGATGGGCTGAAGGGCCTTCTACCCTATATAGTTTATTGGGGGGGGTGGGGGGGAAATGCTGTTGGTTAGCTCAGTTGGCTGGACAGCTGGTTTGTGATACCAACAGCCTGGGTTCAATTCCCACATCAGCTGAGGTTATCATGAAGGACTCTCCTTCTCAACCTCTCCCCTCACCAGAGGCATGGTGGCCCTCAGGTTAAATCACCACCACTTGTCTCTCTCTAATGAGAGAGCAGCCCTATGGTCCTCTGGGACTATGGTGTTTTTACCTTTACTTTGATAGTTCTATGGCCCCAGGATTCAAATTCCTAGTTTATTTCCCCTTTACATGTCAGGTTCTTTTTCAATTACCTTCATACCCCTGCATGATGCTTGGAATGTATAAACAACCGAGGTAGTGAGTAATTCTGGGCTATGTGAAAAATAAAGAGCTGTAGGATTAGCATTGGACTACATTGGCAAAGAGTCAGAATGGACATGATGGGGTGAGTGGTCTCTATCTGTGCTGACCGTTACTGAGGTGTGATGATATCCCCAACATAGCAGCACTGACAGTGCTGCTGTGGAAATAAACCCCAAAAAGCATACCCAGGCTCTGAGGACGACCGACAATTAGAAATAACCACAAAGCTTATGTCAAACTATTAATAACTAGGGAGAGACGTGTGGTGGGAGGGGGCAGTCACTTTCTGATGATGGGGAGTTTTTGTACTAATGACTAATAAGTACAAAGGTTATTTATTCTTGGTTTCTAATAATTACAAGTGTTGTTATGGATGATTAAAATCCATGGGATTCCTAATGCAAACAAGGTTATTTGTGGCCAAAAGTTCACATTCGGATGATTGAGACCATTCATGAACTCTGTTGCCCACGAACAAGAAGATGGCTTTCCCTGCTCAGCCTCCTGACTCTTTGTTACAATACTCAGCTTACCTCGGCAGATACCCCGCGTGGCAGTGTCACTGGAGCCAAAGTTACACTCCAGCCCCTTGATGTGGTCACAGGGCTCCATGGTGCTGCAGTCCTGGTTAAACTGTCGGGCACACACCTTGCAGCAGTTGCAGCCATCCATCACCAAGCTGTTGCCTGGGGCGCAGCGTGGAGGGGCATCAGGACAGTGGCACTCTGGTCTACAGCCCATCTCCACCTGGGTAGGGGTAAGATAAACACCAGTCAGCTCCCTGATGCCTCCCATCTCCCTCGACTGGCCTTGGAGATTATAGCCAAGTAAATCAGGCGTTTAACAGACTGTGTCAATTTCCAATCAACAGTAGGCTCTGAGCAGGCCAGAAACGTGGACATGACATTCTGACATTATTGAAAATCTCAGTTTGACCAGCTCCAACTGCAAACAACCCTTTAGTTATTCATTTCAACAAACGCTGGCTTAACCAGTGACACCCACATCTCGTCAGTGAATTTAAAAAAAAGTGACAGATTAGAATCTAATCAAGAGGTTTTATTTACAGAATAAACAGAGGTAATTGCAGCCTGGGTTCTATTTGAGGAGTTTGGGGGAATCTATATCTGGAATGACAGATACCCGGGAGTGAGTTACAGGCTGGAATCTAAGATGTGCTCCTAATACAGCAAGGGCAGAGACAACATGCCCCATACAACATGAGACACCCCTCAATAGTTACAGATTAATATTAGCAATAGTAAATTATGTGCACTAATACTAAATGATGTATCTATACATAAAATGGTATACAATATGCTGAGCAATATATGTAATTACAGACGGTGCATAATACAGGGTAACATATCTGTATATAAAACACAATGTAAACACTCATAGATTTATAGAGCAATGTGGGATTTGGCATGGAGTAATTCACCATGCCCACACCTTGAAAAAGGGAATTGTTAAACTATCAGGGAAAGTGATTGGTGTGACATTGCAGTTTAGGTGAGTTAGATGGTACACTGCAGAATGTGCAAGTTATCCTCAGTACCTGATACTGTCCAGCAGTGATGTTCTGAGATATGTAAATGTGCTAGAGAGTGCGTACCTGTGTTTGTTTGTAATGTAAAGTCTTCAAGAATCATTCCTGTCTCCTAAGGAAGTATTCTTTGGACGCATTTTATTGAATGCAGTTTGTGTAAAATTGTGACACCATTGAAAGTCTTTGGTGTACCATTATGAAATAATTTTTTTTAAACTGACTCGGGAAGTAAAAGTGGGAAAATAAAGATATTTACTGCCGTTGCAGTCTCACGTCCTTTATAGAGTGATTGGTCAGCGTGAGGTCTCTATAGTATTCTCAACACAAGGTCGAAGCAATTGCTTACTCTATCTCTATCAACCAGGTAGATTGACAGGTGAGGGGGCTGTGGGAGATAGGGGTCCTTTCCAGCAAACTTTCAGTGGGAATGCTCAGAGTATCTTACACAGAGCAATGATTTAAAAGATACTCAGTAACATCTCAGTAAGCACCCAGTACAATTCAGCGTGACCACTTGTTTAAGAGCCAGTATTTCTATGGCACCTCATTCTTGTACTGTTCCTTCATCGAGACTGTATAGTGTGCAACTTAATATCCCATCTAGTGCTCCGTGGTACAGTGGGAGTGTCCCTAACTCTGAGCATGGAGGCTTCGGTTCAAATCCCACCTGTTCCAGAGATGTGTCATAACATTTCTGAACAGGTTGATTAAAAATATCCCATCCCGCAGTAAGATCCCAAAAACAGCGATGAGATACGTGAGTCAATGGTGGTTTGGTGATTGTAGTCATGGAATAAATATTAGTCAGAGACCAGAACACTCCTGTTCTTCCTTGAAGTAACAACATAGAATCTAATGATGTCTGCATGAGACAGTTATCTAAATATTGCCTCTGTCATTGAGTTTGGTTTACGTAGGGTTCACCTCTGTACTAGGAAATAATATTGCACAGGGGAAGGCGGGGGGATCTGTGAGAAGGTGACTCTGTCAAATCCTGCCCTCCCCCACCATCCCCCCAACCCCCTACCCTGAACCCTGAATGGTCTTGACACTGTTTGCACAGGACAGTCCTTTCAGAGACATGACTCAGCACAGTCTTTAAATAGATCACTCACTCATGCCAATATCAATAATCTCCAGGGCATTTAATTACGACTCACAATTACACTTCAGCAAGACGTTTTCTGCTGTGAAATTGCCCGAAGGTATTTAACTCTGACAGATCCAGGCAAATAATTCTCCTTTAGGAGCTGACTGCACTTTTCAACATCATCTTGCAGATGGTGATACTGAATAAGACATTAATTTTACATTATGAAAGGATTATATGGAAATCTCGGTTGACAGGGTGGTGCTAAAAGGATATTTCTGATTAAGTGACAGACAAACCTGGGGAAACAGGGTTAAAAATAAGGGATTTACCATTTAAGGTGGATTTGAGGAGAATTTTTTTTCTCTCAGAAGGTCTGTGGAATTCTCTTCCTCAGACAGCAGTGGAGCCTGGGGTCATCGGATATTTCTAAGCCTCAGTTGGATAGATTCTTGGTTGACAAGGGAATAAAGGCTTACAGGAGGCACGCAATATGGGGTTGAGCTTACAATCAGATCAGCCGTGACCTTATTGAATGATGGAGCTGGCTCATAGGATCAAATGGCCTAAATTTACACCTTGTTCAAATGATTGGATCACTGGGCTGACTAGTTACCCACAAGGATAAAGTCCGATAACACAATTTCAAATTCTTTAAGAAATATTTTCATCACATTTAGACTGTCACCAACAAATCATTGTCACTCTTTTGTCAATTTCTCTTCAGGTCTATTGCTATTTGTTAAATTTCAGTCTAACCTGTGCTCCTTTTTTTTAAAAAGGAATCTAACCATCTTTGGAGTTGAAGAAGTGCACGGGGAAGGACCCAATAGACAAACTGCTTGTTGAGAGGGTTAATAGCTGCAGGAGTCCTTGCTGCTGTCAGCTGACATACTGACCTTTCACCTCTTGGACTGGTACTTCACCCTGACCTGGGACAATGTGGCAAACATCACGCCTTCTCTGACAGGCTGCAACATCCCCCACTAATGCTTCTTGCAGCATTGGGAACTGATGTATATGTAGCCTACCCTCTTTTCTAACTGGTTTTCCAGTTTGGGGAGACAGGCTTAAGACTGTGTCTCTCCTGGGTCTAACTTTAAGACCTATCCGATCTCCTAGTGAAACTGAAACCAAAAACATGGAGGGTGAATGTAGGCCATCTGTGACATTAACCCTAGTCTGCACGCACACCGTACCATGATTTAACATTACCACCAACACATGCTGCTCCTTAGCATGGTCAGTCTGGATAAACTGGTGAAAAACACAGACATCCTGCGGTAATCTATCAGGCTTTGACAGGGCGCACTCTCACCCCCAAAATCAGAAATGGTTTCAAGCCCCAATCCAGAAACATAAATCCACAATGCCATCAGACACACTAATATAGTACTGAGGGAGTGCTTCACTGTCATATGTGCTGCCTTTAGAATTGAATGTAAGACAAAATAAGTTTGTCTGCTGTCTCAGGAGAATGATGTGGAGGTGCTGGGGTTGGACTGGGGTGGACAAAGTCAGAAATGATATGACACCCGGTTTATTTGAAAACACAAGCTTTCGGAGCCTCACTCCTCCTTCAGGTGTTAGTGAGAGAGGTGGCATCGGACACAGAATTTATAAGTAAAAGATCAAAGGTCACATCACTGATATTAAACAAACCTAAGATGCTGTTAAACTTTAGTCAGTTAGAAGGTTTTTGAATTGATTGATATGTATCTATAAATCCCCAAATTTCTTTACATATTGCATATTAATGTTACATATACATATTAATACAGATTTACACATACATAATTAATCAATTAAAACCTTCTAACTTATAAATTCTGTGTCTGATTCCACCTCTCTCACTAACACCTGAAGGAGGAGCGAGGCTCCAAAAGTTTGCATTTTCAAATAAACCTATTAGACTATAAGCTGGTGTCGTGCGGTCTCAGGAGAATGTTTGTTCCAAACCTCTAACCCTAAATGCTGTTTATTTAGTCAACCACTCTCTCTCTCTGAGGCAGTCTCTCAGGACAAGGATAACTTTCTTCCACTCCGGAGTCATGGGGCTTGAAGTGATGAAACAATCCAGTGCTGGATCCACATGCTCTGCCCTATGTGGGGCAAGTGGTGTTTGTTGAAGTGGGTGCTTGGGTATTTGCTGTTTGTGTATTTATGCAGATTGCACTGGGTCTGCGTTTGTCAGAGAGACTCTCAAAATGTCTGGCATCTTGGTAGATGCTTCTTCCCCCAGTTTGGACAGACTCAGGCTAGAGATTCCTACAGTTCTTTTTTTTCCAGGAAGGTTTTGACGACATCGTCAAAGCTTTCCCTCTACTTTCCTGGTAAATGCTTTCCGTGATGAAGCTTGGAGTGAGAGAACTCATGCTGGGAGTCTAGCCTCAGGGATGCAATGGCGTGTCCTGTCCAACAGTTGATTGTTTGTAACCAGGGGCTTTGACACTGGGGATATAGGCCTCATGTGACCTTGATATCGATACATTTACCCAACCAGCGCATCTGCAAGTTCTTTGCAGAGGTACCACTGGTGACATTTCTCAAGAAGGTTTGAAGGGTCTGCTGTACATTGTCTATGTCTCTGACACATAACACCATTAACACTGTTCCCCAATAGACTCTCTCATTGCTGGCTGCAGGATCCTGTTGTGTTCCCTATAAAAATGATTTCCTTTTGAAAGTACTGGCTGTGAGACAGCCTGGGATTATGCAAGAATACTCTACTTCCTAACTCAATACTCTGAACTCAGATGCTAATTCTTCCATTTTACATGATTCCTGCTCCCGTTTGTAATGTGGATTGGGAGCTTCTGATAAAACAAGAATGTTTTGTGTTCTTAATAACATGGCAGTCAGACTGAGACTGTGGAACCTGGAACATATCTGAGATGGGCGGCACGGTGGCTCAGTGGTTAGCACTGCAGCCGCACAGCACCAGGGACCCAGGTTTGATTCCACCCTCGGGCGACTGTCTGTGTGGAGTTTGCACATTCTCCCTGTGTCTGCGCGGGTTTCCTCTGGGTGCTCCAGTTTCCTCCCACAGTCCAAAGATGTGCAGGCTAGGTGGATTGGCCATGCTAAATTGCCTGTAGTGTTTAGGGGTGTGTGGGTTATAGGGGGATGGGTCTGGGTGGGATGCTCCAAGGGTCGGTGTGGACTTGTTGGGCTGAAGGGCCTGTTTCCACACTGTGGGGATTCTATGGTAGAGATACTGAACTGGGTCACTACAGCCTGCACAGTGGAACTGACAGGTTTAACACTTCAAATGATCCATCGCTATGTACTTTGAAAGTAAGAGTGCAGTGATGTGAGGGCAACAACATCAAAGGGGAGTGGGGGGAGGCTGTTAACCCTGAGTTACCAGCTGCAAATCTCCAAGGTGCTAGTGGCAAAGGATGCCAGGATCTTCTTGAATTACAACAATCTGAGGGTGGCATGGTACCTCACAGCACCAGGGACCCGGGATTGATTCTACCCACAGGTGACTGTCTGTGTGGAATGTGCACATTCTCCCTGTGTCCGCGTGGGCTTCCTCCGGGTGCTCTGGTTTCTTCCCACAGTCCAAAAATGTGCAGGCTAGGTGGACTGGCCATGCTAAATCGTACACAGTGTCCAGGGATGTGTAGGCTAGGTGGGTTAGCCATGGGAAATACAGGGTTACAGGGATAGGGGATGGGTCAGGGTGAGATGCTCTTTGGACGGGGCGGTGTGGACTTGATGGGACGAATGGCCTGTTTCCACACTGTACGGATTCAATGAAAGAACAACAATACTCCTCTTTTCTTTTAAAAAAAAAGAACTAAAGCACTCATCCCTAGGAATCAGGGGGTTAATGACATTAGTTTGCTGACGCAGTTCCCAAAGCTGGCATCCAGATGTTGCCCTGTTTCACTCTGTCCATTGCAGTGCCCACTTTGTGCCACTTTGAACCGGGTGCGAAGACTGACATGGAAGCAGCTATTCTTCTGCTTCAGTTTGTGATTATTAAGGCCCAGTGAGAATCCCACAGTAAACTGTGCCATTCAGTCAGGTCAGATTGGCATCCTGTGTGCTCAGAGATTCTCAGCATCCCAGGAATTTAGACTTGGAGCACAGTAGCTCAGCTTCTGCCAATGCCTGGTTACTCTCACTCACTTTACCCCTTGGAGTATGCAGTAAAGGAGAAACAATTCTACTTCAATACACATTACTGTCGATAGCGTCTATGCCTGGGGTCTAAGTTCTGACCTTTCCTCCCTAACCTCTCTCTTCGCCTTTAAGTCACTGACTAAAACTTAAAACATTGACCAACTTTTTGATCAGCTGTCTTTAATACCTCACTATGTGGCACCCTGTCCAATTTTATTCATCAATACTTCTGGGAGACACCTTATTTGGTTTCATTACATTAACTGCATTTAGCTAGTGGTTAATTTAGTTTTTTACGCTTTCATGGGATGTAGAGCATCATTTGTAACCCATCCCTAATTGCCTATGAACTAATAGTTTGCTGGGCAACTTCAGAGGGTAGCGAAGACTCCCCCACATTGCTGTGGGTCGGGACTCACACATAGGTGACCAGGTGAGATCACAATCATCTTGATAGGATTTTTTTGACAATGCTAGACAGTTGTCATGGTTACCATCACTGAGACGAGCTTTAAGTTCCAGATTTATTCATTAGTTTCCCCCCCGCCCCAGCTGCTGCAATAGGATTTGAACCTGTGTCCTCAGTGCAATGGCCACAGCCTCTTGTTTCCTAACCCACTGTGGCACTGCCTACCTCTAAAACTGGGTAGTTGATTCGACATGGAGGGGAGGTTTTGTGGCTTGCTTGGCCCCTATTGTGGCCAGGGATTGGGGACAGTGGGTGACATACATTCACAGAGCAGGAGGATCTCACGGATGTAGATCCAGATTCGGAGCTGATGTTCCCATCTCCAATTCCTACAGCTGGGGACTGAGCCCTGCAACTCCTGCCTTGGAGAGAGAATGCTGCGCTGAAGGTTTGTATCCGCAAACGCATCCCCCCAGTTTTTCAGATGAAGTGATCTCCCACATAGGAGATATCGGTTAATGTGAAGGTGTGAGGAGAGCTGGGGTGGGAGAAGTGTGTCTGACTGGCCAAGCTATTTGGAGGCAGGGTAAGCTTGTTAGACCCTGGATTTCTATAGCCTTCGTCAAAGCCAGCTCTAGCTGAATGAGTGGCGTTCTCGATGAGTTTCAGGGAGCTGTGTGTAGAGTCCAGGCTGACAGTTGGCACATACTGAGGAAGTCCTGTCTAGTGACCTGGCCAATATTAATCGTTCAGCCTGCGCTGATTCTTATCGCATTGCTGTTTATGTCAAGCTAGCTCATGAATTTCCCACATTACTGACACTCCATGAACCGCCTCATTGTTGTGAAACTTGGAGGTTGTCAAAGGTGCTACAGAAATGCAAGTGTTTGCCTTACCATCAAAGATCTGTAGCAAGGAGGCTGGGAGTCTGGTGCATAACCAGACACCACCTCCCTGATCCCATCTGCCTCATACTCAGAGTAATCCCTGTGCCTGTTGCTCAGCCAATTAGCACAACATCACCGACCACAATGTCCCCCCCGTGTCTGATTCCTTGTGAAGCTGGGAATCAGAGCAGCAGGGGCAGTATGGGGGGAGGGGGGTGGGGGGAGTTGCAGATATCTCTGGGGGAAAGAGGACAGATCAAGTAGGGAAACACTACTGATTTTCCAAGATCACAAGGAGATGAGATGAATCCCCAGTGATAAGTACAAAAGTTGCACAGCACAGTATTTCAGTGACAAGAGTTCCCTGTTGCATGACAATCTTTCATGCTAAAAGAAAGACTTATATAATGCTGTTCACAGCACCAGGACAATCTGAGACGCAATAGCCAACTCAGTAATTCAAAGTGTAGACAATAGCGTGTGGGACATACAATTGTGCACCAGCAAGCTCCCACACACAGTGATGAGATAACCACCAGATAATGTTTTCCCTGATATCGGTTGAATGATAAACACTGACCAGGAACATAAGGGAAACTTGAATGATTTCCTTTGAAATAGTGCAGGGAGATCTTTCTTAGCTGCCTGGCAGAGCAAATGGGGCTACAGTTTCACATCTCATCAGATGCAACACCGCAGGTATCAGTGCAGAGAGGTCTGTGGAGTGGGTCTCGAACTCACTGGAATAGTCATGATGTGAAGGTGCTGGTGTGTCAGACTGGGGTGGACAAGGTCAGAAATCACACGCACTAGGTTATAGTCCAACAGGTTTACTTGAAAACACAAGCTTGTGTTTTCAAATAAACCTGTTGGACTATAACCTGGTGTCGTGTGATTTCTCACTAGAGTAGTACCCACTGTGATGAAGGTTAAAAGCTTGCAGATAAGCAGCATCCTCCTTCCCAGTTCAAAACTGTGGAAAGTCTGAAGTTTACTTTAAGCAGGCTCTTTGTGATCACCTCAAACTTTAAATAATAAAACGACCAGGTTTGGCAGGGGGAAACCTGGGAGGTAAATTCTTTTAACACAACCTGTAACCTAAAACTCAAAGAAGCTTTAAGTCAGTTGGCAGATTCATGAGCTTTTCTATGAGTCCCATGCTGATTACAGGATCTGTCCCCTTAGTGATAATCAGCAACATTTAAAGCATCCATACACACAAGAATAATTACATTGAATACACACAGGCTGCAAGATTTCTAGCGAAGAATTAAAGAAAATACTTGATAACACTTACCCCAGCCACAGTGCAGAATAAGATGGTCAGGCACACAAACGCTTCCATCTCCTTTATCAAAATAAAACAGTCAACACAAAAAAAAATCCCTTCCCTGCTTTCAATTTACTTTAAAACCTTTTAAACATAAACAAACTCTGTATGTCAAATATATTAAAAAAAATCGCCCAAAACGTGCCACACAGCAGTGTTTAATTTCAGGTCAATTTCAGCGGCGTCAAATTCCACTTCGTTGCTAAAGGAAAGTTACTGGAGTCGGGGGGAAATGTTTTTTTTTGTTATTTCTCTCCCCAGTCGGTTCGGATCTACTACAGTGCGCACCAGTCGAGATTTGCACAGGGACAGTGCCAATGTGTCTCTTTCTCTCTGTCTCTGTCTCTGTCTCTGTCTCTGTCTCTGTCGAAGTGCAGTTTTCTCGCTGATGCGCTTGTCTTTTTCAGCCTCGCAGTTCATTCAGCCCAGGAGCTCCAGCCGGAGTTTTATAGGGAGACTGAGCGCTCTCCTCCCCTCTCCACACCCACCGGCCCCGCGTCACCGCTTGGCCGCTCTCGCTGCACAGATGCCCGGCGCCACAGCCAAACACCTACCGCCTGTGGAAACCCGGCCAAGAAAAAGGAAATTAAAAAAAAAAGCAGCGTCGAGGGGGGAAAAAGAGAGAGAAAACAAGAAATTTGACAAGCTGGTTCCCACAGTTCCGCGTATTTAACTCGCAGAAAACTACCTTTTCTAAAAGCAATGTTCTGTTTGAATTTTTATCTTATCCGAAAAAAATCATTTGTTGCAATTTATGTTAAGTATTCTTGATTCCCCAGAAAGGACCAAGGTGTTTTATTTAGATGTCATTTTTTTCTCATCCCTGCTGTTCAAGCTTTGCCAGAATTGTATCATTTCAAACATTTCCGATATAATTGTTGCAATTTAAAATTATCCAGCATGTACAAGGATTTATTTTAATTAAAATCAAACGCTCCATATTTAAATTAATTTTTTTGGAGTAAAAGTGCATTTTATTGGGGTGGGGTACCACCAGCTGAATGTCTGGATGAGGTGAAAGTCCAGTTGAAGTTATGTAACAATTCTCTGCTTTTGTTTCCCTTTTGCATACACGTTACTCACTTGCACTTTTAACAAAAGTGTCTGTCTAATCATTAGAACTAATGAAAGTGTGTTGGGCTTAGAGTTGGGAAACAACAAAATAAAATCAGAGGATCCGCTCAATATTTACATTTCCATTATTGCTCGTCTCCGAAGCAACTGAGTGTGTTTTGTAGATAACATGAATTCCATTCATTCCAGTCACAGTAGCCAGCGGCTCCATTCTGACTGAAGGCTCCTCTCCGAAGCAACTTCCCAGGTATCTGCCATACTGGTACCTGCAGCTGGGCGGCGCTCGTTCCACACGGCTCCCGGTCCAGAACTAAACCATGCAGCAGCTCAGCGCTATCACTCCTAGGCTGCAGTGACACCTCATTTATTCTGGGAGTTTATTCAATTTTACTTTACTTACTATTTTTGCCATTTAGGTGTACCCAGTGCTCAAGGCGGAGTGTAGGATTTTGCCAATGTGTCGTTGCCTAAAGGGGCATGGGGTGACAGAGCAATCTATAACCCACACCCCCTATTGTAACAGTCTGATATAACACACACCCCTCACTGTAACAGTCTGATA